AACACCAAGCTGTTTGTACTATACACAACAGTTCCAGCCTTGATATAGCAAAACGAAATGGCAAAGCAAAGAAACGAACGAAGCTATTCACTTCAGAATTCCGATACTGAAAATTTTGTTTGTATCATGTACTAGAAAATGAATATTATGCCACAGATGAAAGAAACAGACCAATTATATAACGTTTGCTACAAATAAGTCAATCATTTTCGATGACCCCTTAGCCCTTCAGGTCGCAGAGGCAGGCGCGTCTGACAGTACTTCTAACGTTCCCAATCCCGTACCAGCGCTTGAGCTTTGACAGAAGATTACCCGAGTCTGGAGCAGGGTGTGTTCAGTTACTACCTCACGTCATTCTTGGCAGTTTTCAGTGCCTTGGGCCTGTTGGTTGAGCAAGTAATACCTGTTTTGCTTTTCTTTCAGGACATTAGACTAACAATTGAAATTATTGGTTCCCTTTTGTGCTCATTTCAGTCGAATTCTAGCAACTCGTATGAATAAGAGGACACAGGATCAACATAATTTTTCGACTGCATTCCTTAGATTACGTTTTGAATTTGCCTACTTAGTGAGTACTGCTGATAATTTTACAGCTTTTCCAGGCGTTGTTCGAATTCAAAGTCATTATTTTAAAATAGCTCATTATTAGTGAAAGGATGACTACCATGTTTGATGAATTGGTAGGAAAATCCAGTTTTCTATCGTAAGCCTACTAATCACATGAAATTGCAGCGCTGCAGACAGTCTCCAAAAGAGTAGTACGCAAATCAATGGACACAACTGTGGCAAATACACAAAAGAATCATCTTTAAAATTTTCTTTTGATTGCACAATAACCCATGCATTTACCAATCATGTTACATTGCATTACTTTGCAATACATGTTGCATTACGACTGATAATAGAGAGAACGACATGAACAACAAGAGAAACATTCCGACTATGCAGATGGCTGACGCTGGCTAAAACAGCAAAAACGCAGCAGAATGACGCAGGCGTACTGAACTGTTGGCGCCTCCTCCCCTGTTAATACCTTGAAAGACAAACATCGTTGTGACAGTTCAACGTTAAGCGGCGGCTACGCGTAACTTGTTTACAGCGTCCCGTCTAACTGCTCAGTCAGCAGTGACGGAACCCTCGAACGGTGTCACTCGTTTATGACACTTCCACCTGTAAAGATCTTGTTAATAGTGTAGCAAAACATATAGGTTAAAATTTGATTGATTCTTGGCTTGACTAATGAAACAACACCGCGGGAGTAAAGCTTAAGATTCAATGCACAGAGTTGTGCAGTAAACATTGCCTCCCACCACCGTCGACTGAATAGTCTTTGGCTACGTTACTCGATGATGTTACTTTTAGAAATGCAGCTTCCTGGAATGGCTGAAAATCGTCGATACCCTCTGGAGCTGAGGCGAAAGAGGACAGAATAGCTGTCTGCAACCCACGTTAGTTCATTCCACAAATTCTCAGTTATTCCTCAATCGACTAACGGCTTTCCGTGTGTCAGTACCTCGACTTTCGGCTCCGAAACGCGAGTGGCTAAAGGTAGGGTGAAAGGGCCTGTAGGCAGCAGACAACGTGTTGGCCAAATGCTCTTTTGCTTCTCTAAATATGTTCGAGTTTCCTCTCTGTCCTCTCCATTTTGGTAGAATACTATAGGCATGTTTATGCCCAAGCCATAAGATGTATTAACCTATGAATCCGCGAAGAAAACATAGAAACTTTTGATGGTCTCTACGATAAACTAATAGAAAAATTTGCGGATCTTAATCCACAGTTGAACGTCCAGTTTCCCCCTCCATCCACTGTCCTTCCTTTAAAACGCGAATCATTCAAAACGTTAGTAAGCGCCAAAGTACCACGGACGAACGTAAACTGAGCCACGCGGTTTTCTTGGCAGGGCCATTGCGTTTCAAGTCGGTGCTCGGAAGCTTTTATTCACGAAAACTGACCACATTTTCAGAGCTGACGACATCTGACAAGAGTTCTTGTGAGGATGAACCAGAAAAACCTTAAATGGCAGCATGCTGCATCAAACAAGCGATCATGCTTAGTTGCACAACTTGGCGACGAAACTGCTCGTCACTGGGCAAAGAATACCATCTAACAGTAAATCAAGTTTCCCAACACCCGGTTGTTCATTTACGGATAACGATGCAGTGTCTATAATGAGTGGATATCTAACAAAATCCGCTGTTGCATAGTCGAACCATTGTGCTACAGTTCTCTTTATTGTCATCGGTCCTATTCAACCATCAGGACTTCACCCACAGCATCCGGTGAAAAGAAATAAAATGTTTGAAGATACTTGAGTTTGTCCAGCGTATTATATCAGAGCCAGTCGGCAACTTTTGAAAATTTGGCATCCGTAAGGAGAAAAAGCTGCATCCACTCTAAGTTCTGCTTATGCCATTGTAAAACATGGCAAGATAAGACAGCTGAATGTTTCGTCATTTTGTGCTAATGATGCATCCAATATACTGGTTACATCAACACTTCGTGAGCCAGGAAACTGTGCACTGAAATCAGTCGCCACATGTATCCATGACCAGGACGAGCTGATGAACGAAATGTCTTTCGTCGTCATATTGGTATCATAGTCTGGACAATACTTAGACGACTTCTTGGTTAAGAAACCTTCCGTATGAAGGTAATCACTGTGACCCTGCTGGAGAAGAAAACTCTCAAGATTCAACAAAAGCCGTGATCTCTGAAGTGGAAAGATAATGCTTCAAGCAGGACTGGATAGAGACAACCTGTGAGCGGTTATACCCCAGTTGAGGGCACACACATGATAAATTTTCTGTTTGAAATGGTACTCCAGATTTATTTCAGACTTTGTCAAATACTGTCCAACCGGTGATATTCTTCGTCGCGAACAAATTTGCCATTGCCAGTGATTTTCAGGACTTATTTTGTTATGACTGCTAATACTTCTTAGCGACTTTGTTGCATGACATCGGTAGACTGTTCAACTTAATTGGCTAGAAGAGGCACTTGCTCAGAGTAATTACCGGCAAATCTATCACTCTTTATTATGTGAAAACCTTGATCATTTTAGTAGAATAACGAAGGCTTGATCACGTGCATCCTGACAACTTTTCCCTATGGTACATTGTCAT